AAAACCTTGACCTGTTGCTAAAGTGAGGAAAGAGGAACTAAACCAAAGTGAGGGGCATAGCATAATTAGCATCTTGACAGCTCAATGCCTACTATCCATTACAACGCCGTCTCACGCGCTGCGACTATGCTTTAGCCGGTCGCAGACGTGCCGTAACTGCAACAGACATACATGCGCCCGTGTGACTCAGCATGTCGCATGCTCGCCCAGCATCTTCCATGCTTCGAACGCGACAAGCCTGCGAGCCCTGCCGGTAAGTAGCACTGCCCAGACTGGTTACACACCATTTCGACGGCGAAACAGCGGATATGACCCTCAAGTTCTAATCTTCTCATCAAACATAGCCGGAAAAAGACCAAGTGCACTGCCGAGAGACCAACTTGCTCCTTCTGTCAACGTCTCAACGTGCAATGCGTCTATCTGCCGCGGGGGGTATCTCCAGCTTCCGGCGCCGGTGCCAAGATCGGAGCCAGGAAGGAAAGAACCAATTCAACGTAGGTCAAGGCGACAAAGGGCTCTTCAGAAGTCCATGGGACGCAATTGACTCATCGTTTTGATAGTTCTAGGCCGGGCCGGGACACCACAGAGGGTCGCTTTCAACAGCTAGAACTCCAAGTAACGGATCTATACAACCGTCTGACGTATGTGAGATATTCTCTGCCAGCCCGCGCTCTACCTCATTGAGACCTGCTAACATCTTTCAGGTCCCTGCCAAATGCACCAGACTCTGAGGTCATTCGCCGCGGTTCCGATGGGAGCTTCCTGGAGTCACCAACAATGCCCGCAAATGAACCACCTCGTGGACACCTCCGTAGCGAGGACGGAAAATTCACTACAGAAACGTGAGCGTCTAAAATCGAAAACGAGATGTGCGGACTGACATTTCCGTTCTGACCCCAATTCCTAGTCCAGAACCGAGTGAAGCCGCCTTGAAACACTTTGTCAAAGTGTACATCACACAACTACACCATCAGCCCCTGGCCTTGTTCAATCCCGATAGGCTGTTACACGATGTGATGGCCGCACCTCGTTTTCTGTTATGGAGTTTCTTGTCACTGCTTTTGAACATATCGAGCCATGACTTTTATGAGGGAGGTGTCGATGCTGCTAAAGAACTCTACGCTCACTTGGCGGAGACTGCTGTCATGAAGTTAGCAGCTGATGGTGTCGCGACACACGAACTCATACAAGCATTATGCTTGATATCTCTGAAGCATATCCAAAGTAAGTAATATTTGATCTCGTCTCAGTTGCAATAATGTCTGACGAGGTCGGGTAGCCAAGCAACCGAAGCGCAGTCTAGTAACCATAGGGCTTGCTTCGAGACTAGTTTCGCTACAAGCGCTCTCCAATATCAGCAATCCTACCACTGCAGAAGATGAGGCTTCTATACAATGTTTCTGGAACGTCTTTGCTCTCGAGAGGCTATTTCGCCCTCTATCGGTTGCGGCTTGCGATGACGATAGGCTAAGCTATCCTTCCAGTGCACCGCCACCCTCGCCAATATCTGGGGGATTTCATCATCCTGCGGGTCACGGTAACTCGGCGGCGGGGCTTAGTATTGCTTCAGCACAGGATATAGGGATATATGGCCATGCACTGTGCCTGACGGAGGTCTGGGGAAAGGTTCGAACCTATCTACACAGACTACGCAATGGTAGAGTCGAAAAGCCCTGGGTTCCAGAGTCGAGCCACGCAAAGATAAGCATTGAGCTGTTTGAGAATGAAGCCCGGTATGGAAAGCAACACTTGCTTTCCAACGTGGCATTGGGCAAGAGAGGAGCATCTGAGATAGCTGCCCGGCGCGATTATTGGCAGCCGTGGATGACTATGCAGATCATTTCCCATGCTGCACAGGCTATACTCAACCACCCATTTCTTCATCTCATGGTACTGCGCTCTCAGGACGGTATACAATACTCTAGTTTATTCCTTCAGCAGACTGTTGACCTGGCATTGTTTCACGGCGCCTGGGTATTTCGGCTTCTCGAGATTGCTGACGGGCGCCTGGAAGTTGTCAACCCTTTGATAGGGGATGTTGTTGCTGCCACCGCGACGGTCGTCTGGCTCTTTCAATTTGCCAGGGATCCCAAAGTATCAGAGAGGGCGCGGAATGATTATGCGAGGGGTGAGAGATTTCTTGAGCGCATGGCCCGCACGTGGCCACACATCTCCCACAAGGTAGGTGCTGCACCCGTTCTACTTTCTGGTTTTTTTCTTTTTTTTTCTTTTTTTCTTTACAAATATGAAAGAAGATCAAGATGCTGAAAGCACTCACTCTTTTGGATCTTGTAGGCTGATTTCTTACAGTCTGAAACTTTGAAGAAACTTCAGGCTCTAGCCGAAGGAAATCACCAAGAGCTGACAGACCGGAGTGTGGCCATTAACCTCAAGCCGAGCCTGTTTTGGGACCTGTTCGACCCTGATCTACTTGACTCACATGAACCAGCGAGGCTTGGCGATGCGGATTCATCTTTGGGAGTTGGTGGTCGTGACCCGGATGCAAGGATTTGCCTTCAAACGCAGTATGTCCATCCTTTGGATGAGGAACAGGACTTGAAGCAACCTTCAAACCCGATAGATTCGCGTACAGATGCCACCGCGTTCCTACCAAGCTCGGAGGACTTGGAGCAATTTTACATTGGAGACCTGTCTCATGGAATTTTCACAGATGATTTTTGACTGAGATGGGTTCATAGACTAGTCACAAAACATGCAGATAACTAGTTGTATCAATACCATGCCAGGGCAACTAGCTCTTTCCGCCTGTATACTGCGGGTGCTATCCTTGAATCGATGAATAGCCTTTTGAGGCCATGGAGACGTGTGCCGTCTCGGTCCGGACTTGATCCAGAATGATTAAAGATAGAGTCACTTGGGATGAATATCAATCTCCGGGATCGATTCACATCAACGTTCGTTCTAATGTGCCACACTAGACTAAACCACCGATTTGCTTACGCCAAGTTTACAGCCACTGGCTGGCATGACTTTGGTCCAGAGACGTCGTCAGTGAGCCCGTTGTGGCTATCGAAGCATCTCGATGACCAGATTCTCTTTCGCACCTTGAATAGAATGGGAGGCGAGGAGGGTTAAGGAGCTGTTGGGATACTTTTTCTTGCGTAAGTGAGACGGACGCGTTGTTGCCCAACCTGGACCGTCTACAGTGTTGTCGAATATGGAACAACCATTTCTGACGCCAGAGACCGCACCACCCCGTCAATGCTGTAACCAATGCAATCAGTATCAGGCTGCAAGCGATAGGATCAAGAACCATGGAAATTACACAATACATTTTCTCTCACAGCGTTGTTCGTATATATATATATATATATATATATTGCATCAGATAATCTTTTTATTCTTGCCTACCTTGTATATGTTCCGTGGATAGTATAATCCTTTTGCGGCCCATTCACCGTGTATGCGCACACCCAACTCTCCACGTTGACGGCGTCAAACACAAAATTATACTTTACATTGTAGTAGTCGTCGATACACAAATGGCCCGACTTGGCAGGCCACCCGTGCGGGTGTCCCCCGCTCGCGGGCGGATCCTCAAACTCGATTCTGTGAAAGAGGTAGTCGACGCGCTTATTGTCATCCGGCTTGGCAAACCACACGCTAATCCTGTCAGAAGCCTCATCGTAGCGGTATATATACCGACGCGTAGCGCGGAAACCGAAACCTTGATCAGTTTGGAAATCGCCGTCTTCAATGTAGAGATATTCATAGCTCTCGCCGTCTTTGCATACCGACGCGACGCCCTCTTCTGCGATCGCGCACTGCACACCTTCCTTTGTGGTCTTGCGCAAAAGAAACTGCGCAGTGCCGCTGAAATGCCCGCTCGGGTGCGTCGGGAGCTTGCTCGTCAGAGTCCGCTCCAGCTTCCACGTGCCGAGTAGGCTGCGGAACACGGCCCGCGAGACGAACCGGGGAGTAGTGAGGGCAGCCTTCAAGACGGCGGCAGCGTCATTGTTGAGTTTCTTTGCATTGGCATTGTGCTCGCCATCCTCGTTGGCGGGCGAGAAGCGACAGGGTGCGAATATTTCTAAAGGGAGGCCGTTGGTTGTGAGGTGGGGAGCGTCGACGGCCTGCGGAGGGGATATCTCCAGGGACAGCGCCTCGGCAAAGTCTTGCATGAGGAACTGGTAGTCTCCCATGGGAAATTGCGACTGTCGCGGATCATCCCGGAGATTGAGGGTCCTTTGAATACAGCCATCGCGGGCCAGTTTGTCGCGAAGCGTCGCCGATGGCCCTTTGCTAGACCAAAGCGCAGTGAGGAACCGGGCCTGCATCTGTATGACGCCCCAGAAGGCTCCTCTATAAAACCCGACGAATCCCAAGTTGGGCACGTCAGGATGATGTGTCCCGTGGAATGAGAGAGCCAAGAGTAGTGCCGGGTGCGCGGGCGAATACTTGAGTGTGCTCAGTACGTCGTTTGGCAGGAAGCTGATGCAAGGGTCCGGATCAAAGCCCGTCGCAAGAACGACAGCGGCAACGTCGTCGAGGTTGGATCCAGCCAGTTTGGCAGTAGTCCCTGCAAGAGACTCTAGTCGGCTATTGTGCACAGTGATGAAGCCTGAACGCACAAAGTCGCAATACCAGTCACTGCATGACACATATGGAAGCGACAAGCCATCTAGGCCATCAGAGTTTGCCGCCTCGGAACTGATCATCTGCCTCGGTCCTAGAGCCCCGCGCAACCGTTCGTGGACAATCTTGGCCCTCTCTTCCGTAATGTGCCCGTGCGTATCTGTAAACGGCACTGGTCTGTTGTTTTTATTGTAAGACGAGAAATCATGAGGAAGAAACGGCGGAGCTTTCCATTTCGGCTGCTCTTGTCAATATGTATCCATTCTTGGGGGGAAATTGAAAAAATAAAAATAAAAGAAAAAGAGAAAAAAAAAAAACACGTTCGCTTACCTCGGGCGTTGTGTGAAGAGGAATGACCCACGGATGGCGCGGGCTAACATGATGAATCTCGTAGTTCTCAATATTTGGTAAGGAGCTTTTGTCCGGCGAGTTGATTTCATCTGAAAGATGGGTGCCAATCGTCGCAGCAATTTCCACGCCAGACATTTGACCGCCAGCAACTACAATCTTGCCCCCTCGGCCCGATGTTCCGAGGAGCGACTTCAGGTCCCGGTAGTAACTACTATGAATGACCGGGACAGTAGTGTTTTCTTTCATGGTCTTTGGGACGACTGGCTCGCCAAAGTAGCCAGACGCTACAACAAGACGATCAAAACGCGCCGTCTCGTCGCCCTTGTCGGACCGGACCGTCACATTCCACCCTTCTCCGTCCCTCTCAGTACGTGTGACACGCGTTTTAAGCCTCAGCTGGAAATTCAGACTACCAAAGAGGTACTTTTGCGCATACCGCTCGAGGTACTGACCAACCATCCACGCCCGCGGCAGCTGAGGAATCTCGTCGTCCCAGGCCAAGTCGCTAAAGTGCATCGAGTGCCGGCTCTGGTTGGTCCGCATCAGCGGGTGAATCTGGCGGCCTGCGTCATCCTTGTCCGTCGGCCAGAGACCGCCGACCTTGTGCTGGGCGTCAAAGACGGTGACGCAAAAGTCTCCCTGCGGCGCATTGTGAAGCAGCGTCTTGGCGATTGCCAGACCAGCCGGCCCCGCGCCTGGATGCGGGTCAGCGCGTGTACGTAATGTGGACAAAGGAAGCGTTTGAGGGAAGGCTTACCGATGATGCATACCGACTTGGCCATGGCAGTCGAAGAGGCGTGTCTGCGCAGGCTCATGAAATGGTTGTCAAGAGACGGGTTAGTGGCGGGGTTTTTTCTGATGAGGGCATGGCGGCTTATGTCGGGCGCGTTACCCACTGTAGTAATCGAGAGCCTCTGGCTACTATGCGGATCAAAGAGCAAGCTTGTGGCTTTTGTTGTTTTAAGGCAAAAAAAAAAAAAGGTCGGGTTTCTTGTATAGATATGCTGTATTTATGTTGCTTTTTTCTCAGGCTATGGAATTGCATGTTTTTTATGCGTTGTTCTTGCTCACGACTGGAATCTACATGCGACCGTTAATGTTTGTCTGTAGTGTTTGACACGGCACTCATGCGCAATTTCTCAATAGAGAGAAACTGCAGAATAGCCTTGAGACTCATTTTCTGCTCTTCTCTTTAGCACAGCGCTTTACAGTGACTATACGAGAAGACGCCCCTGGCTGCGTATCCCACTGTAGGTGAAGCGGATGCACCAACACAGCATAGGTATGCTAACACGGCTCTATGCTTTAGCTGTGGAAGCGCTGGCGAGGTTACGCAGACAAGAGAGGAAGAGGGGATTTGGGAGCAAAGAGCGGCGAGCGAAGCAGACATATGTTTGCCAAGCATGTTGCTTCATCCGATTCAACGTGCATCCACCAGAGTAAGTCAGGTCTTTATTAGTAGACTCTCTTGTCAATACCCGCCATGAGCATCTTCGTCATTGCCTTGCCAATAGATACATTCGCATAGTCGTCTACCATGTTGAGCTGTCCTCAGACATGGACATTGCATCTTCGTCAGAGTCGCTCCAGGCCGCTAAATCGAACCTGGTAGGCAGATGCACAGCCTGAGGCGAACGACCTCGTGGCCTTGCCGGCGCTAATAAAAGCAAATGTCAGTTCCATTTTATTTTTCCGCCGCCAGAAAAGTAGCATATGATGGTGGTAACTCACCAGGCCGGTCGATGGTGTTTGGATTAAAGTTTCGTATGTCGGCGCCAGCTGTCGGCCGAGCTGGTGGTGACATTTGCTTCAACCGCGCGTACAATCCAGGGTGGATTCTCTTACACGTCGGCATTGTTCAAGGCGCATTGAAGCTTATCGCGGAAACGTCGGAGAAGAAAAAAGAAAGACAAGATAAAAAAAAAACCACAAACACGACAAATCCACACGGATGAGGATTATTGTTTTTCTGGGTGGAGCTTGTGATACAGTGTGACTGCGCGCTGTTTTTAAACGACGATAAGGCCAAGGGGCTACCTGGCATTCGCAAGGAATCTGAAATCAGACGGAAACTATTCCAGTACATTATAATCAGAGTCTTGCTGTGCCAACTGGCTGAAGCGCGAAACCCCAGATCAAGCGGCTCGACAAATCTTTTAGGCATCTCGTCCAAGAGCCCAGCAAACTTGTGCTTCAGCTCACTTATCGAGCCGTGACGGGCCTAGATAAGAGCATGTTAGTAATGAATAATAAAAACAAATTATCAAATTGGCAGAATTTCTCATATTTCTTCTACCTTTATTTCCCCCCACATCAGCCACATTCTAGTAACTTGGCCGGGGTCTCGGACCATACCACCAGTTGGATCCTCTCGGTGAGAGTGCTATGCTGCCTCGACTCCAGCATTCCATGAGATAACACGTCCTTCTGAGACAGCATGCAGGTAACGACTGCAGTAGCTTCTAAATAGAATGTCTTTGTGTAGTTTTGAGCATGTTTTGCAGCATGAACCAGCTGATACAAGAAACCGTCGTCACCTCTGTAGGCTGTGGTGGGGATTTGGACGTTGTTATAGTTGGGAATCATTGACAAAAAACAAGGCAAAAAATCAAAACCACTACTACCATTTTCGTCATGTTTCCAGCTCTAATGAATCCGTGTGTGTGCCCATGTGCAGGCTGCGCTGTTATCCACCGTAACAACTACATACCGAGTCTCTCTATCTCGGCAGAAGCCGTGCCAACGTATTAGATTACTGCCAACTATACAAGGGTGAGACAGAGACGACATTTCCACAAAAAAGTTCTCGCCACTTTGGTAAATAGTAAAGTCATATTACTCTACCATCTTAATGTTATCTATCTAATCTAGCTAATATCCCTCTCTTTACTTCCCTTTGGTTGGCCACTATCCCTTATATCGCGTGGTATCCTTGCGTCTGCTAAAGTGCCGTTTCCGATTGCACCAACAACAACCAAGCTTTAAAGCAAGAGAATACCTGCAGCTCTTGGCCCCCCCCGGCAACATATCAAGGCGGCCAAGTACCTTCGCGTTCCCTCTGCCACTCTGTTCGCCATCATCAGTCATGGCCCATACGTGTAAGCCCCATGGAATCGTTTTCATTTTGGGGGGTATATGACTTACCGGTAATAACACTGCGTCTCTCTTGAAGCTGCCTGACCTCGGCCACTTTGGCGGCATGGCTGGGCTCAGAGTTCTGCCAAGCCTTCTGTTGGGCAGTTTCGCCTGGAGCTGGCATTGCTGGGGGGTTTCGCAAATGTCAGCCCGTCGACCTCTCATCGTTGCCTTCGGTCCGCGAGGCTTCCCTTTCTTTCCCCCGCTCTTTTGAGGTATCTCCGGGAAAGGGGATTTCTCTGTCCCCCTTTTACAGGGAGGAGTTTGAACGGCTTACCTGTGGGCGGTGGACCAGTGTTGATGGTGATGAATTGCTCTCCGGAGACAGGTTGAGGCCGGCCTCCCGTGGCGCTGGACGGGGTAGGACAGGAAGGCATTGTCAGAGAGCTGGTCTTGAGTATGGTTGGACTGTGTAAAACTTTGGTGTTCTCAATCCAGAGCATTTTGAAGGGACTTGGGTGTTATATAGGGTCCTCGACCGGCATACAAGAACACAGTCGTCAGCGGCAAAACGACAGAATCACAGTGACGAGCCGTTTTTTGAGGCTGATCAGACTGTGTGAAACTTGTCTTCTTGGTCCAGGGGGATATTAAAAAGACTTGGCTGTTATATAAGGTCCCCGACCGTCGTACAAGAGCGCAGTGGTCAGCGGCGGCAGGCAAAATGACAGAGTACAGTGACAAGCTGGTTTGTATGAATGGTCGGACTGTGTGAGACTTTGGCTTCAGGTCATCTTTGAAGGGACCTGACTGTCATAGAAGGTCCCCGACCGTCGTACAAGAGCACAGTGGCAGCGGCAGAAATAGCAGAGTA